GTCTTAACAAGACGCCCGATCAAAGCCATATCGAGAAGTCTGACGAACAACGTATCGAGAACCCCGTCGAGGAGTCTCTCGGAAAGCCCACTGATGAAACGGAAGAGAATCATACAGAGAAACCTGTGCAAAAGGCTGAGAACGAAGATACCGAGATGTCCGTTGCACCTGAACTTGAACCAAAGCTAGTGGCTATGGATATCGACGAGCCTCCTACTGAGACTGATCGAGTCGCACCCGATAGCCCGCCGCCTCCTTCCAACAAGAAAGCCATGGATGCGCCTTCCACAGCAAGTGAGACTGCGCCTATAGAGTCACTTGAACGTCAGAAGACGGAACGAACACCTCTGGGGGCGTCTGATGATTCTCACAAGGAGAAGTCTGATAAGGACAAGCCAATTGACATGACTGCAGAGGTGAATGGTGTGCAGCCTACACAAAAGCTGGTGGAAAATCCAACCGGAGCCCTCCCAGAGCCTGCTCCGGCAAACCCAGATGATGCTGTTTCGGAGAAACCTGCAGAACCTTTTACTGAGCCCCGCTCCGAGAATCTAAGAGAGAATGCTGAAGCTCTTGGACATAGACAGGCCGCAATTGAAGGTGCTCCTGTTTCTGTGGTGTGCCCGAATGTGGTTTTGCAAACGACGGAAACGGCATCAAAGCCACCTAGTACACCGTCACAGGTAGACGACGACGAGACTGAGTCTGAAGACGATTCTTTTATGAACCTCGATACCGTTCGACAGTACATGACCACGCCTCCAATCGATAGTCTACCAGACTACAGCTGCATGGCTTGGGATAAGGATAGTGCTTTCTTAAAGACCCTCGACTCCAGCATTGCATTGGACGAGTTTGTGGTCGAACACCTCGACAAGATGCATTTGGAGAAGTCAGCTGAACAGGACCACGACAGGAGGATTTATAAGGACAACTACGAACGGTACCTAGACTTCACCATGTCGAATGATCCAGCGGCTGTGAAGAGTCGTGGAAAGTTTTCAGTGTCGACAGGCATTGAAATTACAGGCACCGTAACGCCTGAGCCAAAGCATGAAGGAAGTGGCCGTGGGCGCCGTTTCGCAACCGAAAGAGACTTGGAACGAGTTTTGCAAGCATCAATGCGCGAGGACGAGGAGAGAAAAGAGCGCGAACTTAGAATGCAGCAGGAGAAGTATCGCACTGATAAGGAAGCCATCATTCCGAACATGATTTGGAACCAGGAAGAGAAGGACAACACCAAATACCTCGATAAGAGTGGATTCACGCCTGTTGATCGGTTGGTAACAGCATGGCGGGTTTTGCCTCCAGTTAATAACTTCACTGAGGAAGAAGCCGGCTTGTTTGAGAAGAGATACTTGGAAGCACCTAAGCAATGGGGTCGGGTTGCTGAAGCGATTCCGCATCGTGATTTCGGTTCTTGCATTCAATATTACTACATGAACAAGAAGGACCTTAATCTGAAGGAGAAACTCAAGAAACAGCCTAAGAGGCGCAGAAAGGGCAAAGCGAAGCAACGATCTAGTGCATTGGTGTCGGAACTTGGCAACGGAGACGGAGAAACCGAAGAGAACCACGACACAGGAGAAAATGGCGAGAGGCGACGACCACGACGAGCGGCCGCGCCTACATGGGGTTTCGAACAGCCCCCAGTTGACACAGAAAACTCGACACCTAATGCGACACCTGGTAGACGTGGCGGGTCCGCGAAGGTCGACCATCCTGAGAAGGTGGATGGAAGAAAGAGGCGAAGAGGCCCAAAGGAAAAGGAGCCCAAGACAGCCAAGGCGAACCAAACGTTGGCCGCAGCCCCTGGGCCTGGCAAGGGACGATCGAGGTCAAACTCCAGAGCGCTCAATACCGATGGTCCTTCAACTCCACTTCCAGCCGCCGAATCCCATCGTCTCCCAGGTCAGTTCGAGCAGCACCCTGCTGGTATGCAGCTCCCTTTCTCCGTTCAGCAGCAGCAGCAGCAGCAGCAGCAGCAGCCACAACAACCTATCCAAACCCTCGAACGACAGCAGTCAGTTGCTCCATCCTCCATCTCCGAAGTCATGGCAGCACCTTCACTTCGGCCTGACCCACCGCCTCAGCCTGCAATGGCTACATTCAACCTAGCCCATCCGCCATCAGAGCGCAAGGCGCCTACTCAGGCATCCAGCTATTGGAGCGTGTCTGAATCTAACGACTTCCCGCTCCTCCTGCGCTCGTTCGGCTCGGATTGGACAGGGATTGCAGCCCATATGGGCTCTAAAACCGCAGTCATGGTAAGTTCTGACTGTTTCACGTAGGTCCACTACTAATGCGCTTGATAGGTGAAAAATTACTTCGTCCGTCAAAAGGATCAGGGCAAGGCCGAGTGGGAGGTGCTTGTCCAGGAAGCTGACAGGAAGAGAGCTATAGGCGACAAGTTGCCCGATCCTCCACAGCCATCAACAGGAGGGCGAGGGCGGAGATATGACAGTTCAGCCGCAGCTTCTCGGCCGTTGGCTGTTGCCCCAGGTATCGATCTGCACGGAGAGACGTCGCAGCCCAAGATGGAGCCGTCAGTCCAACCCCCTCGTGGTCAACCTTTTGGCATGTATGGCAGCCCCATCGCTCAAGCGCCTATTACGCAGCAACCGCTTGTCCAACCCCAACAGCAACCCATGCCTATTGGACAACATTCAACCACCCAGCCAGTAACTCAGACTATGTCCCCAGGTCCAAGGCCTTTGAGGGCACCTGTACGGCAATTCGGATTTCCTGACGGCGAGCGCGAGCGCGAGCGAGAGCGTGACCGCGACCGTGAGCAAAGTGTCCGGGTACCTCTTCCGCAGAAGGCTTCCTCAAGACCTCCTGGTTCGGAACCACGGGAGCAGCGGCCTCTGGCTGCCGCGCAGCCTCTACAGCCAGCCCGGAGCGAAGCTATGATCGAACACAATGCTCAGATGGAACGTCAAAAGATGGAAATACAGCGGCTCGAACAGGAGCAGCTTGAATTGGCTCGACAGTCAGAAAGACGGGTCAAGCAGGAGCCTGAAGTGACCCCACAGCCGCATCGCTACGAACCGTTTGGGCATCGTCAACAAGGAAGTCTCGGGGGCCAGCCGCTGGCAAGGCCACCGCAAGAGCCGGGACGTCCTCCGTCTTATGCTCCTCCTATGCAGCAACAAGCCCCTGTGCAGCCGGTACGAAACCTAATGGGCGAGCAAACCCCTGTTCGGTCACCTCAGATGAACACTCCATCCAGCCGCCCCATGTCTGCTCTCCAGCATAGACCGTCATCTGGTTCAATGCACGAACAATATGGCTCGGTAACACCCCAAGCTGGTACTCCAGTTCAACCACCGGCAGCGGCGCCACGTCCAGCAGAGCCTCGTAAGGGAGGTCTCAACATCATGTCACTGCTTAATGACGATCCCCCTCCACAACCCAAACGTGTCAGTGATGTGACTAGCACTCCTACCAGGCCATCACCCACTCCTCCACCCCCGGCCATGGGCCGTACGCTGCCAGGCCCAGCACCGCCTTCTCAGATGCGACGGGGCGAGGCAGAGTCATACTCTCCTTACGGTCGAGGAACCCCAGTAATGCCATCCCTCAAGCCAACATATGCGGATTCCCCTCAGCCTCAGCACATGGGCAGTTCGAGGGCATCCATCGGGGTCTCCCTAGAAGCAGCAGCAGAAAGGGACTACTACAGGCAGAATCCTTACCAGCCTAGCAGCCACAGCCGAACGAACTCACCACAAAGTGGCCACCGATATGCTCCTCCTGGACCTCCTGGACCCCCGGGACCTCCCCAGTACCAGAACCAGGGGTATCCGACTTCATACGCTGCAACAGGTCAACCAGCCCATGCCGGATCGCCAGGAGGGCAGTACGCGCTTCATCCGTCGGCCTCTCGGGCACGAGAAGTACCCCAGGGTGGCCGCGAGGCTTCATGGCCGCCGCCTCAACAACCTCCTTCCAGCATGCAGCAGCCGCCTGGGTGGGCATCTCAACAGCCACCAAATGCACAACCCCCACCGCAGCAGCAGCAGCAGCAACAGCCGTGGCCTACGCAACATCCCTCGTCCAAGCCTCAAACTCCAGCGCCATCTTGGGCAACTTCACAACCATCTTCACAGCCTCCGCCTCAGCAAGCTCACCATATGTCCATAAGAGACGATGGACGTAATTCTTACTTTGCCAGTGGACCTGGCATGCCGCCGCAGCAGCATCAGATGCAAGGACGCTACCCACCCACAGTGTCGCGTGGCCCAGAGTCAGTGCCACCTCCGCAACCATACTCACGTTATGCTTCTACACCTGGCCCTGGCCCTGGCCCGCCTCGAGAGATTCCCGGCCGCAGCTACACGCCCATCAGTAGCTACGACCCACGCGGGCCACCCCAGCCTCCGCCGGGAGCACCGGTTTATCCCAGCCATGATCCAAGAGATCCACGAGGAGATCCTCGAGTTGATCCAAGGGGGGATCCAAGAGACCCAAGAGACATGATGAGGGGAGGACTGAGACCACATGAGTACGACAGGCTTCCAGATCAATACAGGAGGTAGATCAACATGCGGATGAGTTATATTCATATATTGGAAGTTGAACAGGGTTCGTATTCTAGGAGTACCATGAATGAGTTTGGCGCAACTGAGGCGATAGGCTATGCAGCACGAGCGGTCTGAATTCTCTGTAAATTATATACCTACACTGTGATTGATTTTATTAATTGTACAAGCGAAGTTGATAATACAAGTAAACCTGTTATTACCCGTGGTGCTGATTTGTCACTTTGATGTTTCGTTAAAGTGTGTCGCGAGAGGCTTAAGAACTTCATGAGCCGAACCCCGCTAATGAGAGTAAGTACCCACTGTAACGTAGGTACTTAATTAAAGTAAACAACCCCGCCAAAACTTCCTCACGCTGGGGGTAGCGCGTTGAAACCAACGACAACCTTCCACAGCCTTGAAAGCACACACAGAAATACATTCGTTATGGCCTCCCACTCGAGGGCAGCATCCGCGATGGGTGGTCAGGAGAAGACGTACTTTGAGCAGCAGCGCGAGGCTCTGATTGGCGAGATTGCAATGGCACGTCATGTCTCCCCATAGATAGTCAATAGCGTTTATGCTAACATTGTGCTGTCCAGAGTTTTGAGCACGTCTTGGCCAACATCAACAAGTTAAACCGATCTCTTGAGGCAGTCACCGCTGTATGAACAACAGTCTCCTGCGAGAGGACCAAGCTAATAGAGACGGGTGCACAGGTCGGCAACGAATTCTCCTCGGTCGAGGCACTATGGTCGCAGTTCGAGAACGTCATGGACAAAGATGGCAAGGCTGAAGGCGAGACGGAACAGGCTGATCAGACGGAGCATCATGAAGAAGAAGGTGATACTACAGTGAAGCACGAGGGGACGTGATGGAGGCTTTGGAGGCTTTGGAAGGCTGTATATGATACCCTGCGGATAACGAATTAATGACCAAGTAATACAAGACCTCAAGGCAAATTATCACCAAGGATCGTTAGTGATGGTATAACTGATCATAGCGATTTCATACATCAAGAAATATTAGAACACGTCACTTCTATCAGGAGTAATATTTTCAACGAATCAATCTTCACTGTCTGATCTTAATCTGTCTGGTTCTTGTATCTACTCTTCACCAAGACATCCCCTCGAATCCAGAGTCTAACAATCTGTACCAGAACCGACTTAACAATCTTGATCTGGATTCTGCAGCTCAGGGCGGCAATCATTGACCAACAGCCAGACAGGTCCAAAAAAGAAATCAACAAATCAAACAAACAAGCAATCCTCATCTTCGTTCTCGCATCCGTATTCGTCGGTATCCAGTAGGACTCTTCTGAGGTGTTTTGAGGCGCTTAATACTCATATCTCAACATGTTAGACGGAAGAAACAAAGGTTCATACGATAGTAATTGGTAGGTGTTGTCTCAACTCTTTGCAAGTGGATGGGTTGTCTGGTCCATATCGTCGTAGGTCAGTCTCGTAGACGAACATCGCAAAGGGTAAAGCAAGTGTAAAAGCAAACAAAAGGCAAAGCCAATAGCGCGCGCTCATCGCTACGTCAAGTCGTGTTTGGGCGTGTCCCATCATGGGTATCATGGTATGTATCATCATGATAGTTAGCCTTGCCCTTGATGGCAAAGGCAATAGGTAAAAAGGGGAGATAGCTAGGTATCTGTGGGCGCTACATAGCTGCACCAAGTGGTGTATGTAGAGTTGTTAAATGTTGGTTCCCGACGTAGAACCAGTCGAGATATCGTGTGATCTTTGGAGATGTTGTGGTAAGGCGAGCAAGTAGTTTTAATAGTTCCTTCAGCTAAACAGGGGATATTCCTGTTAGATGGGCTTTGCAGTTCTCTCTGTGATATGTCTTTTTTTTTTCCGTTCATGTTTGTTCATTTTTTCTTCATTTTTTTCTTTTTTCATGCCTCGTCATCTCACATTTCTGTTGATGAGAGATCAAAAGAACTCGTTGGTTGGATCAACGGTCTTGTCGACATGGTTTCCGGCGATTTCTTGATAATCGCGACCATAGCGAGCAGCCACCTCGGATTCGGGGCTCTCAATATCGACAGGCTCGAAGCCCTCATACTTGCGGTACGTGATCTGTTCTTCCTGCTGCGTTTTTCGGATGAGCTCGACCGCATGTTGCAGGTTGTCAGTGGGCTCATGGCCACATTCTTGGGCACACTGGAGGATTTGCCCCCTCATCCTCTCGTAATCCTCGTCCAAGTACTCGCACATGTGAAAGGCGGCGGTCGCCTCGCGATTGATTTTGACCGCAAGTCGCCGGCCCTCGATGATATGTTTCTCTACAGATCGGTAGATCTTGAGACGTCGGCGACGAGCAGCCTCCTCATTCTCTTGCTCTTGTTCCTTTAGCCTCTGCTGCTGGTTGTGCTTGTATATGGAGGCTACTGCATCCGCTCGGTCCCATTCAGCAAAGATGATTTCGTTTCGGGACATAGACGGTTGCATTTGAGCGATGTATTTTTCCTTTGCCAGGGAATCTATGTGAATAGATTCCTTGATACGATCGCATTCGATGAAAACCGTTTGTGGCTGACACCCCTGAATGACTGGCGCTTCAGGGTGCGCGAGAGCAGTCTCAACCTCAGCCTAGAGTTTCATGTTAGCACCAAAGGCTGAAAGACAGAGAGGGAGATATGCTTACTCGGCTTGGCTTGTAACCCATGGCAGACAGATCTCCGTCGCTCCCTGCAGTTGAAGTAGCTTGTTCGTACAGCTGCTCTGCTTTGTCGTCACGAAACATCCCGCCGATCGAGGTCAACTCGGCAATTCCATCTCGCCAAGTGACCACAGCTTTAGGATCGCGAGCCGCTATGCAACTTAGTAAGTATATAAGATAGAGAAGCATGTGTCAACTTACCAATCAATCTTTCGGGGCTCTCGCTCCGGACGTTCTCAAGGGTTGTAAAAAACCCGCTGAGTCTCTCCATCTTGAGCTCCTTGATCAAAGCCTCCGTGGCTGGCTGTCCCGGAGTAAAGTCCTCGGGGATTTCTTCCTCCCACTCCTCATATCCTTGTACGTCGGATACCATGTCATCAGTGGCGGCGTAATACTAGTCACCGTCCACTGAATCCTGGTAGTAGAGCCCCTCAGGCACGAATCTGTCCGAGCTTCTTGCTCTTGTCAGGATCAACTCGGTTTGGTCGCTGGCATCGTCTTGCTGCTCGGCATTTGGTTCTGGGGTCTTCTGCCCCTCGCATCCAAGGTTTGTGTCCTGATCCTCGATACTCGGGATTACCTTGGAGCTGTTTGTCGCAGCGATCGAAGATTCGTTGGAGGCGATCCTGTTGGGCGGCAGCTCAAGGTCTTCCGTCATTTCTCTTAGTAGTCGCTGTTCGCCCAACTCTCTGGGTTCGTCTACGGCGATCGATTTTGTTTCATCCATATTTGGTCCAAGCAGCCCGATGCTACGAATTCGATCAACAACTGCAAGGGAGCTTCGGTGGCGGGCATATGCCTACAATTGACGGTCAGAAGTCTGATTTCGGTTATGTTCTAGCCAATACCACAGCAAACTTACTTCTTCAACAGTCTCGACCTCCGTAGGGTCACCTCCGTGCTGCCATGTCCGGGGTGGATGGACATCTAGGAGTTGTTAGCCTGTACGAGAAAAAGGCTCGCCTTGTGTGGAAACTTACCATTGGTTGTATCGCGCTCGACTGTTTCTCGCGGAACTTGCTTCTGTTCAGCGTCACCACGAGCATCTTGGTTCATGGTTCGGTCAGATCGAGTCTTGATTTCTACAAGCTGTGCCTGCTTGTTCTCCATGTGAACTCCCACGGCAACCAGAGGGTCTTGGTTAGTGGACTCGTCGCGCACTTGTTGGTTGTGGTCCTGGTTGTCAGAATATGGGACTGGGGTCATTGCAGGCCGAGGGGGGAGATTTTGATCCATCGAAACATCAAACTTTGACGGATATGAATGGAGGCTTGGTGTCATTGGGGACACGGGAGCCCTATGAGCCATTTCCTGCGCCGTAGTGTTGAGGTCGCCAGAAAACTCTCGAATGAGCTGGCCCATTTCGTTTTTCCCAGCTGGGAGCTTCCAATCCAGGCCCTTGAATGTTCTGTCTTGTCTGTAAGAATGTTGTCAGTGTTCTCGATCACATTTAATACATCTGCAAAGAACACTTACTCGACAATTTGATTGGCAAGTTGCCCATCACTCTGACCGAGATTCTGCGAGGAGGGTTGGGAATGGCTCATATTAGAAGACTCAGACTTGGCCTTCCCTACCAGCAATCTTCTCCATCGAGGAGATAGTCGGCCCATGTGCTTCAGTTTTCCGTTCCCATCACCCTTGGATTTTGCGTCTTCATCAGACTTGTCGCTGCCCATCAGCATACTCAAGACAGATCTCAATGAGAACTTTGACGACGATTTACTCGTGAGATCGTTGCTGTTTGTGTGTTCCTGCCCAGGGTTCTCGTTCTGTAGACCATTGTCCTCCTGTCGAGCAGTATTTTCATGGTGAGCAGTCTCCTGGTGAGCATTCTCTTCCGGCCCAACATCCTTTTCCTATTCAGTGATGAAGGTCCGTAGATCAGTGCGCCGCATCTCAGTCTCCTCTATCTGTCGATTAATGCTTTGCTGTAGATCAACAAAGTATTCTCTTTGAGATTTAAGAAGCTCGTAACGTGCCATTGAGGCTCCATAGCCATCTGATGTGTTGTCGCTTTCATCTTGAGAAGGACATTCGTCTTCAGTGATACTCGAGTTCCCACTGCTGAGATACGTGGATGGGTTGGAAGTAAAGTTTCGTCCGCCGATCGCGATGCTCTCACGGTTGGTGGCGGCATCAAAGGGGTTCCCTTCAGAGCCGCCCTCAAGGTTAGCTTGCTGGATTATAGTTGTGCATCTTGTCATAACAGACACGTCGTCGCCGTTAGTCTGACGAGTAGCAGAGTACTGAGGGCTCTTGCCGACGGGCTTTTGTGATGAAGTGTTGACAGATACGAGATTGGCTTGTGTCTCGCTACTTTCACCGACTTCAGTGATAGGATCAAGCTGATGTGGGACGTGAATGTCACTCGGAGCGGACTTTGCTCGCTTGTGAAGCTTGTTTCCTGACTTTGTATCGAATAGTTTTGCCCAGGATAGTTTGTTGCTGTTTCGTTCCGGGTCCCTTTTGTTTGCATCGCGTAGTTCTAGAAGAGCAAAGGTTAGTTGAGCAAAAAGGTAAACAAAGTATTCAGTTCCATACCATCGACTCCTGCCTCGGACCGTTTCTTCTCATTCGCAGAGAATACATCTTGAAATGCCAATTAGTATATGATTTAGTATATTCCTGGTGCCCTTTGGCACCAATTTGAAACTCACTTCTCAGCTCAGCTTTACTCTTCTTGACAAAGTCACGGAATTTGACTTCTTGAGGTGAAGAAGCTCCTACTATAATATCAGCATGATGCTCTCGATATGGCAGAAGACAGTATGTTGGTATCGACTCACTGGTAGAAGTACGGACGTAGATGCCATCGTCATATCGATGTCTAGCGAGGAAGCTCGCGATCCATTTGCTGCTCCCAAGAAGAGTAGGGCAGGATGCAGAGCCCTGCATCGTAAGAGATGTTTCAGAGAAATGAAGTGAAGATGATGACAACAAGGATGGTAGGCTGAAGAGACTTGGTCACTGTAGTGAGATGAAGTCTTGATGTTAAGATGTTGAGATGATGTTATGGTGTTGAGTGAAGGTGAAGAAGTTGAGTGTGATGGAGAGAAGAGAAGGAAGAAAACAGACGGAGGGAACAGAAGATATACGAGATGGGGCTGGAAGCGCTTGTTTTGAAACAATGAGCATGAATCATTCTAGCTGCCACTGCTATTGTCCTTGGCAGCCGGCAGCAACTGGCAAGCAAAGTGAGAATAGGATCATGGGCGGTTCACACTGGCAGCTGGCAGCTGGGAGCTTTAGTGCCACTGCCAGTGGCAACAGAGCCGATCCTCCCACAGAATCTCCTGCATCCACACAGTACATGCAGCTCCATGGTCCTATATAAAGACAATAGATGTCATACCACTACAGATTTTCACGAGAATGCCCATCAACAATGAACAGTGTTGCTTGGGACAATGCAGCTGGCAATAACTTCGTTTGATCAAGTTCCAGAGACTTCAGAGTCTATCCAAAGATCAAAGTATGGCTACTGTTTATCAGAGTGTCTGAATCCCATTTCTTAGTTATTACTAGAAATCTATAATACAACGACGGCTGGCTCGTTACCATTGACTCCATTTTCCCGATCTCGCCTCCATACTAAACACTAACTGGATGTAATATGCCTCTAGCTTACTTATAATGAACCACATCTGAATACTACCTGTTACACTTAATGCCATGCAATAACTCGACCGTCGTTTACTTCTTCCCCTTAGCCTTGGCACTAGTAGCTTTGGCCTTGGTTCGACCTCGTTTGGGTTTGTCCTCGTCTTCTTCTTCGTCGTCGCCAGCAGCCTTGGCTGCCTTCTTGGTGACCTTCTTGGCTTTCGGTTTTTTTATATACTTGTCCTTCTTGAAATCGATTTCGTCATCTTCTTCGTCGACTTCGGGTGCCTCGACTGCCTCGGCATCATCATCTTCGACAGCTTCCTCAAGATCAGGGACCTCCTTGGGCTGAGCCTTGGGAGCGACGACACTGCTGGCCTTCATGAAGGGAAGTGGGTGGCTCATTGCATTGTATCTAGAGAGCTCGTTAGTTGCCTGTCGGAGCATGGGTAAATGGTCAACCTACGTTCGGGTGAAAGCAGCTTTGGTCTTGGTCTCAATCTTGACATGTTCCTCGTCCATTGGTCCGACACCGAGTTCCTGAACAGCGTCGAAATCTTCACGAGTCAAGTAGTAACTGTCCATCAAATCAATGACCTCTGGCACTGCCTCGTTGCCCTGCTTCTGTAGACGATCTACAAGCTGCGTCCAGAGGATAGGAAGGTACTGCTGGCGAATCTCGTTATGATCGCCAGAAGATTTGAGGCGCATGTGAGAGTGAACCTCTCGAATCGACCTGCCCAACCTTCCGTACTTGCTATTGTTGCCCAGCCACGACGTGAAGTTGGAGCCCATGAGCTGGCCTGCTATAAAGCTGGCGGGCCGGACCGTGCTAAACACAGCATGTGTGGGCATCAGGCTCCAGTGTTGCTGGGGTCCGTGGATCATGCGATCGACAAGGTCTCCGTCGCTGATGCTCTCTGCTGCATTGTCGAACAGTTCGAGAGCTTTGAGCTTGAGCTCGCGTTGGTTATACCCCTTTCCATTTAACGCCATGGGTTTTGTTCGGAGATAATTCTCTTGTATCATAAGATAGCTGAACTCGTGGTCGTTGAAATAGAGCTCAATCTTATCATTGAGTGTCGATTTGCTTGCGGGGGTGAACAACCCACCTGCCAGCATCTTTTGACAGATGTCCCACGGCTTAAGGATGACGTGCTTTTCCCAAGCCTTAGACATGGCCTTGCTCTGGTCGAAGTCCATACTTGTCTGGTCTAATTTGGCTGTGGAAATCATGTTGATGATCTGCCTAATATCCTTGTTGCTTCCCTCGATGAGAGCATCTACTACAGAAGCAGGAAGTTTGAGCCCTTCTCTGTGGCAAATAGTCATGACGCGAGATCGAACTTGGTCCACAGTTGGGCGATTGAACCGGATGTCGAAAGCTGCGTGGTCGAAAGGCTTCATCTTGGGCAGTCTTCGCTCGTTACATATGAGTATCAGGGGAACCTGTGTCTTTTTGCAGAACTTTGCCAAAGCACCGACACCGCCTCGATCACCCGCAGACATACCGTCAACCTCATCCATGATGAGAACAATCTTCTTCTTGGTTGCATCCACATCTTTGCCATCGCCAGCAAAGTATCCGAGAAGCGACGTGTTGTTCATCACATCGCTCACTCCGTTTTCGACGAGCTTTTTGCTTCGCGTGTCGCTAGCGTTACTCTCCAAAACGTCATATCCCTCCAGTTTCGCAGCTAGGTGAGCAGCCGTTGTCTTGCCGATTCCAGGGGGTCCAGAGATGATGATGGCGCGCTCGCCGCCCATCCCGTCAGCGCCCCTCCTTTGAAAGTTGTATTTCTTATGTTTTGGCCAGTTTCTGAGCCAGTTTTGGATTTTTTCGACTTGAGCCTTGTTGCCACAAATATGACCAAGCTGTGTGGGTGCATACTTTGAAGTCAGTAACTGAACAGGGGGTGCGGCAGCAGCCTTCACAGGAGGGCCTCCAGCGGCGGCCGCTTTTTTGGCGGCCTTCGCAGCCTCTGCCTTTCGAGCCTTCTCTTCGGCCTCCATCTCTGCGACTTGTTTCTTGACTTTGTCTTCTTCCGCCTTCTTCTTCTCCTGCGCCTTCTGTGCTCCTTTGCCGCCACCTCCAAATGCAGGAAGTTTGCGGATCAGTTCAAAAAGTCCGTTCTCGTCAATTGTCTTGATGCCGATAGACTTAATCTTTGCCAGCTTACTTGGCCCAGCGTCTTCTCCCAAAACTACAAAGCTTGTCTTGCTGCTCGGCTGGCCGACGACTTTGCCACCATACCTCTTGACAAGAGCTTGGCCCTCTTCACGACTGATGGTCTGCAAAACACCCGTGAAGACAAAACTGAGACCAGTCAAGCATTCATCCGCACCTTCAGGGAGGTCAGCTGCACCAGCAGCTGGCTGAGCAGATGCATTACCTCCTCCAAATGCGTTCTTTCGCCAATCGAACTTGGCATTGGCATCTTTGGGTGGTGGTGTAGGGGCACGAACGGTAGTAACGTTATCGAGAATATCCTTGATCTCTTCATCTTCAGGCTCATCATTCTTCTTTCTTGGAGCCCGAGGTTTGGCTGTAGCCGCTTTCTTGCGTGGAGCCTCTTCTTCCGACTCTTCTGAGTCTTCTGATAAAGATTTTCGCTTTCTGCCTTTTGCTGTAGGCTTGGTTTCTTCTTTCTCTTCCTTCTTGACGGCGGATGGGCGACCTCGGGTCGCTATTCGCTTTGGCTTAGGAAGTTCCTCATCCTCGGATTCGTCCTCCTCGTAGTCGTCGTTCTTGCGCTTACTTCCACCCTTGGCATCGGCTGCAAAAATATCTTCGTCGTCATCGTCTCCGTCATCCATGTAAGCATCAGAATCCTGGTCGGCATTGTGGCGTGAGTAAGAGGTTGTTGATCTTCGTGTGGCAGGAGCTTTGTCATTCTTCGCTGTTGCTGCGGGCTTCGAAGCAGTAGGCTTTCCTCGGGGACTTGACCGAACGGGAATATCAGGCTTTGCAGCAGACTTTTTGGGCGTTGCTGAACTCGTAGGCTTGTTGTTCTTTGTGGAAGCGAAGTAATCATCAGCAGAAATAGCCACGCCCTTAGTTTCCTCCTCCCTGTAAAAAGTCAATTAGAAGGCAATTGACAAGACAGAAGTCAAAAGACAAACTTGGCTTTTCTCTTTGGGGCGGCTTTAGTGTTAGGCTTTTGCACTCTGCTTGGGATCAGTTTGATTGTAATAAGAAGTGGAAGGAGAACAACTTACTCTACTGCTTCATCTTCGTCATCGTCGCTATCTTCGACGACCTTTCTTCCCTCTAAAATTATATTAGTACCGTTGTTATGTCCAAGAGGAGTATTGTTTGGCTTACTTGTACGCTTGCTCTTGGCCAGCTCCTCAGCTTTTCTTGGAGCAGGTTTTGGGGCGCTACCACCCTTGGGTCCAAAGAAAGACCGGATGTCGGAAGGCATTTTTGGCAATCTCGCTTTTTTTTTTTCTTCTTCTTCTTGTTTTACTGGTGATTGAAGAAATGCATCGACCTTTTTAATGGCATGCGCCAAAGTTGCCTGGGTGAGGATTGGTAACGTGAACCAGGCAATCAAGGAGCAGCCTAGAAGTCCGAGTCTAGTGACGTGCACGGTAGCTCCTATCAAACGCGAAGCTGACGCGAGGTCCGTGACTGCGAGCTAAAGTGGTTCCGGGATGTGGGCCTTGAAATTTAGGCCTCAATATCAGCCCACCTTCGGTTTCGGGAAGATTTTCTGGAGCTCCGTTGATCGAGGCAGCTTCAAGTCAACTCCGATCGCTGCCATGAAGCTCGCTAACACATCGGCATTGCTCAATGCCTTTCAGGGGTTGAGGTTGTGTGCCTCTTCTCCTCTGCGACAACTTCATACCCCTCTTCGGCAGTCTTTGAAGACACTTGATGCGATTCGACGACCTCAAAATGTTCGAGCCTTTTCGACGACCCCATCAATGTTGGGCAACTGGCTTGAGCCAAACCTGAACCGAAAGAAGAAGATGGCAAAGGGACGGCCTCGTGTGGCCACAGGTGGTTCGACCAAGGGTACGACAGTGATTTGGGGCGACTATGGTATACGAATGACGGATCATCACCGAAGAATCAGCGCCAAGCAACTGAAGATGGCCGAGGACACCATTAAAGTGCGACTTCGAGGTCAAAAATACCGATTGTATAAGCGAAAGAACTGTAACGTTGGTGTATATGTCAGCGGTAACGATGTAAGAATGGCCTTCCCAGACTTGGGTGGAACATCGGCTTATGGTTTTGCAGATGCGTATGGGTAAAGGTAAAGGTTCCTTCGATCACTGGGCAACCCGAATGGCTGTTAGCCAGATTCTATTCGAAATCCGAGGACGACTTCACGAGCAAGTTGTGAGAGATGCTTTCCGTTTGGCTGGTAACAAGCTGCCTGGTGAATATTCTACAACCTTATTTATTGAGCACAACTAATCACAATCTCAGGTCAATGGGAATTCGTTAAGAAGGGAGAGCCTCCCATGGTTGGAATCACCAAGTTGGACGGCGTGACTCTAGAAGAGTTGAAAAGACCTCGACGACACATTGCTCCCGTTGAGCTACTGGAGGCTTCCTCGCCTACAACTGAGACTCTGGTCGGGAGCACTTCTGAAGCTTCCCGCAAACCCGAGAGATTTTGACTGATGAGACAATGCCATGTACATTATGGAAGTGTAGATATGTTGTTGTAACTTGTATGAATACCAAATTCTGGATCTCCTAATTCTGGAAGTAACCAAAATGAGATTTATATTCACCATTCTTACAACGGCATGAAGCGATGATGAAGTTTAAGTTTTCTTGTTGACCACCATCAATGCTTTTCCTTAGCGAAACCAGTTTAATTCGTGCAATACATATCCTATCACTCGTTGCCTGCTGAACGGTGGTCACAGTTGGATGCTGTGCACGGACCACTTCGTTTTCAAGACATCATCCACTCTGCCACTTTACGCGACAACGCGTCTTCCACCATTTCCCAAAAAGCTGTCTCAACACAATTCTCACCTCCAAACCAAGCAGCTTCCACGATGGCACTTATTGTTGACAAGCACCGACCTCGGTCTCTCGAGACCCTCACATATCACAATGAGTTGTCAGATCGTCTTCGCTCTCTTGTAAGTGAATAAACCTAGCCTTGATGAGCAGCATTGTTGACTAGTATTACTTTCAGGCCCAGAGCGGTGACTTCCCTCACCTACTTGTGTACGGGCCTTCAGGTGCTGGAAAGAAAACCCGAATTGTCGCTACGCTGAAAGAGCTCTATGGTCCAGGTGTGGAGAAGATCAAAATCGATGCTCGAGTATTCCAGACGACTAGCAATCGAAAGCTCGAGTTCAACATTGTCGCCTCCGTCTATCACCTCGAAATCACACCATCCGACGTTGGAAACTACGACAGAGTTGTTGTTCAGGACCTTCTTAAAGAGGTTGCGCAAACGCAACAAGTGGATCAATCAGCGAAACAAAAGTTCAAGGTCGTGGTCATCAACGAAGCGGACCACCTGACAAGAGATGCACAAGCAGCTCTGCGACGAACGATGGAAAAGTACTCGCCCAACCTCCGACTAATCCTCTTGGCGAATTCTACTGCCAATATTATTGCTCCGATTCGCTCAAGAACTCTACTGGTCAGAGTAGCGGCCCCAACGCACGAGGAAATATGTGATGTGCTAGCCGTATCAGCGAAGAAAGAGGGTTGGCCCGTCGTGGAGGGTCTTCACAAGCGAATAGCGGAGGAGAGTGGACGAAACCTTCGACGAGCTCTCTTGATGTACGAAGCTGTTCATGCACAAAAGTACGTTTTCCCTGGTGAAATTGATGGCGGTGGTGTCAAGTAAAAGCTAACCTAGTTGATAGTGAGAAAGTCACTGATAGCACAGCCATCCCACCGGCAGATTGGGAGGCCCTTATCGGCCAGATCGCAAAGGAGATCCTTGAAGAACACTCGCCAGCCAGGATCCTGCAGGTGCGGTCAAAGCTTTACGATCTCTTGACACACTGCATTCCCCCCACTACTATCCTCAAGACCTTGGCGTTCAAGCTGATTGCCCTCATTGACGATGGGTTGAAAGGTGAGGTTATCCAGTGGGCGGCTTTCTATGAGCATCGCATCAAGACCGGAACCAAAGTTATATTCCATCTGGAGGCTTTCGTGGCGAAGTTCATGAGAATTGTCGAGATGTATTTGATGAGTATGGATATGTAATTATACTAGAGGTTATTCGGCGTTTTAGGAAGGTTGATGTGGCAAAATATACGGAACTCGACGGTGCGTGCATGTCGATGCTTCGCTCTATCTCACTATCAGTCATGGGTCTTGTGATGTGCTGCATGATATAAGCTGGCAAAGGAGATATTGTGAAGTAACTGAATAAGACATACTGGCTCTAAGAGTGCACATGGGTCTCGTTGGGCGTCAAACTTGAGATACATTACCATAGAAACATGCCGTGCAGCCCGGACCCGATACGGAGAATCATGATGAAGTGGGGGATGAGGATGGGGAAACGGAACCTTGTTTAGATACCGTGTGCCTGGCTAGAGCGCATGGAGAAATGGAAGGAGTATTATTGGCTATGGTATTTCTTGTATGTTGGAAAGCATCGCTGATATTGACAAAATTACCTGGCTAAGTCCGTTGTTGCCCTTATATAGAAATACCTGTCTTGTAAGTTATTAAATCTTTTATTCCAGCTTCTTTAGCGGCCAGGGTGAGAAGAGATCTATAAATCAAGTCCGCGAGTTTATCGCGAATATGGGCAGTAACTTTAGTGAAAAACAAAAGTTTACTGTATGATGATGGCGCGTTCACCACTGAGAATAACCGCGGGAACTCATGAGCAAGACCGGCTGGATGAGGGGAGCCAGATCTGACCTCCGTAGTGCGTGCGTGAACTGTCTTTCCAACAAGTGCAAGTTCAGGATACTGCATAGTGAAGGAAATGCGGTCATGGCAAACGGACAAGTTCCATTTGATGATTGTATCACTTTATGACAATATCTCGGTCGAGTCCCGAAGATACGGCCAGCCGGCAACATTCTAGATCTAAAACGTGGCTGGAATGACAGGCGAAGCAACAATCTTGGGGGGTTGCGTGGCTTCGGCTATGAGATGCATGTCGACCCGACCGTTGGGGCACAGATCAACATGGGAACAGGGATTGACTTTGAAAGATTGACATGGAGATGCCAATTGGGGACGGTCATCATGATGGGCGATCTCGCGGGAAGCTAGCGACGACACGGAGAATCGCTCTGATCTTTATTTTTCTTTACAGAACCTATAAAATTACCTTAGCGATCTTTGAGACACCTGTTGTACACATGTTGATAAATGCAGTAGCACGTCTCCAACTTTGTGGTTTTTAGGTACTAACCTATTGGAGTCATTTTGGTACACAATCTCTAATACCGTAGCAAAAGTACAGCATCAGAAATAAGGTACTTTCTCCAAAAGAGGAAAGTATAGAGTACATGCAGTGTTCTCTACAGACCTAGACCCGCAGACTGACAACAAAAATGTCCTAACAAACTCAAGTTTGTTGAGATGGAAGAACTCACAGGGAATTAGACCCTGAATGTTCAGCCATGAAGGGGCGAAGTCGGAGGCTGAGATGGGCCAATCGAGTTGTATAAATCTTGACCCCGAATGCGGGGGCCCGTGTGAGGGGCATCTGCAGCTGCCACACTGCAACAAGGTGGGGTCAAATCGAAGCCCATTAAAGCCAATTGCCTCGAAACGGCAATAAGAGCACAGCCAGTAAATAAGAGAACACGCCATATATCCTCTTGCAGACATTACTGCTGGGAGTGTCGCCAGTTGAGAGCCAGAGCATAGAATCCTCCGAACAGGAAATTCATCGTGAGAGCGATCCCGGCTCGCTGTCGACAGAAAGGGTCAGTGTTGTCCCGCATTGGCGAAATGCAACGCCTTGACTGGGTTCCACTATATTGCCGGCCTCCCAAAACTCCACCTTATTTGTGACTATGATCAATCACATAACACGTTTTGGCTATCAGTACTCCTCTGTGTGCGGCCCCATACCGGCTCCGTATCAAGGAGAGTCAAGAAAACTGAGGACCTTATCCTAAATAGCAAAAAGACCTAGGTAAGCTTGGGTGAACCTTAACTAACCTATAGACTTATTATTTTTGATGGCTAAACCTGAAGTCTGAGGCTTTCTTGCTCCCTGAGGGGGATGTATCTGATCCAAAGGCTGTTCAATCATTTACCGAGTAATCTCTTGTAATGTCCCATTCATAGTAGCTGGGATACTACTCTGGTGGTGCCCGGTGGCACCTAATTGTGCATGCTTTGGCTGTCTGACATCACCAGTTCTGTTTAAGAACAATCTTCCGTCGACCCTGAAGCATTGGTCTATCCGGCTGCCGCAGATAGTTCGGCAAGCTAGCGAGTACAGGGATTCGGTGATGTCAAGACATGATAGGTGGATATGCCAATGCATCGTCGATTATATCAAATTCAAAGTCGTTGGATGTTACCATGCAGCATGAGCCCCCGATGTTGAGAGCTAACAAGACATCAATTCTAGTAGAATTCAAGTATCTCATTACCTATTATCTCAGGTAGGACTCTTTCAACTTAATTCATAACTAATAGCAGAGCGCGACTTGTCGATGATAATGGCTACCAAACTAGGCAACAAAAGGATGAAGATACGGCCGTCCTTAATTATCGTAAGCAGTGCTTCGTAATTACGGCATGTATCACTCACCCAAGTCGAAGTGAACTTTCTCTTCGCTGTGTTTTCAGTAGAGAATGACAAGAAACCCCAAAATGGGTCAGAAAACGTGGTAATAAAGTAGATGGACGGTGGCATTCAGGCCATCATGTTATAAGGAATACAAAAGCAGGGAAGCTAAGGAAATCAACGATGCACTCTTTCTCGGACGTAGGGCTTCGGGATAGAGCCGATGGTGTCTGATATGGATGAATGGCAGGGAGAATAATAGGATACATGGCGCGGCAAAAGTGTTCTCAAATGTAGCGGCCACTCCCGGTCCACAAGCCGTTGTATGTATATCACATTGGCATTTGTGTAATGCCGACGTCAAGTCACATCTTATCCCCAAGGGTCAAATTGCTGACAGGCAGATGCCGTGCTTAGCATTTTGGCCACTCTGAAAGCCGAGAATTCAAGTGTGAATATTTGGTGACGATCAATACCTAACGAACATCATCCTTTCAGGTTGTATGTACTCTTACAAACTTACTAGCGGATGTGAGTCGCTAACTCACTACTGGCTATTCGGGACTTGAGGTGGCTCGGGGGAAAGGATCACGGCAAGACCCCCCCGGTTCGCCGGCCGCAGCTCGGTTTTGGTGCCACTACACCACTGAGACTGATCCCAGTTGGTGCAGGTACCAGTGACAAGTCGCAACGGCCGGCCGGGCCTTCCAATGATTATGGACCCATTTGCCATAAAGAAAGCTCCCCCCGCAAGCCGGACCTCATCAAACCTCTAGATCCGTCTCAACTATTTCTCCAGCTCCTCCCCCTACTCTAAATCCAACTAAACACTCCCTCTCTACTTTACTCTTCATTGCCTTCTCCAACCTCTCCTCCTCCTCTTCCTTCAATTCAAATACCTACGACTCAACTGCGCGATCTCTGTAT